CCTGTTTCCAGAGGCCTTCATTTGTTTTCTCAAAACTGTATAAACTACAAACAATGTATTAACTGTCATTGATTTAACATGACTTTAAATGATAACATAATGGACTAGAAAAGGCATTTCCTGCTGAAAATGCGTTGGAATGCAAAAAGCTGAAAGCTGCACTGAATATTTAAAAATAGCTGAAAATACAGAAAGTTGAAGGGAATTTGAATACATCTGAAATGACAGATATTAGAAAAGCTGAAATTAATTTGAAATTGCTGAAAATACAGAAATGGGAAAAGCTGAAAGGAATTTCAATAGATTTGCTGAAAAAGCAAAAATTAAAACAGCTGAAATAAATGTGAAATATTGCAAAAAAAGAATACAGAAATTAATATTAAAACATTGCTGTTAATAGAGGCATAATAAAAGCAGAAATTATTTTAAAGAACTGCTGAAAATACAGGAAGTGGGAGAGCTGAATTTCAATAGATTTTCTAAAAACAGAAGTTGCAGGAGCTTAAATGAATTTTAAAAAGTACAGAAATAACAAAAGCTGAGGTGAATAAAAAAAGGTTTAAAATTGTTTGTAGTAGTATTAGTAGTAGTATTAGTTATAGTTGTAATCGTGGTATTAGTAGTACTAGCAGTAGAAGTCGGTTTAGTATCAATAGCAGTAGAAACAGCTGTAATACTAACACTATTAGCCATAGAGGTATTTGTAATAACATTAGTAGTAGTTGTAGTATTAATAGCAGTAGAAATACTAGTAGTATGGTAGTAGAAGTATCACTTGTAGTACTAGAAGTACGAGTAATATTCGTAGTGGAAGACAGAATGTTTGTTATTCAAACTTAAAAGTTTTTAATTAATAGGCCTCATCACAAACATTAGAGTAAAAATTCCCTCCATGGGGCTTTTATTTTGTAATTATTGGACTGGGTGGTGTGGGGGGATGTAGATAGAGGGAGGGAGGGTGAGAGGGTGAGGAAGGGAGGGGTGGTGAGGAAGAGATAGAGGGAGAGAGAGAGGAGGAGAAATAGACAGACAGACTGGCTGAGAGTGATTAACAGTGAGAAGAGGTCAGGGTGGAGGGGGGAGGGGGGGGCGAGTGTCTTTATCATATTGGTCTGTTGACAGAAAGCATAGCTGCGTCATGTGACTCCACTAATCAGGTCATAACAGCTATCTAAAAAATACGGCGTTTTTACGAGACCCAAGACTCTACCGAACGCATGGATGTGTGTTTTATGTCTGTCCGGTAATAAATACGGCTCCTATGGTCGTTGACAAAACGTGTACCTTCTGGATTTTTAGAGAAATATGTCGGCAGATTTGTATTGGAGCCTATGGGGCTTTTGGCAGAGGTTGTGTCACTCTAACACTCCTTAAGCAAAAACTAAAGAACTCTGGGATTCCATGAACGCATTAATCCAATCAGCACAACCATGCCCTCATTAATCTGAAGAAATGAAGCCTCTAGAGTGTATACTTTGGCTGTAAGGACAGAAGTTCCATATTTTTTCAACCAGATTCTCGTGCTGCCTCACACTCTAGCCCTCGAGGTCCCCCCTCTAGCAGACGCAATACACACTCATGTAAAAGTCAGAAACGGAGGGAAGAACTAGTGAAACATAATCAGTGATTATGAAAAAAGTACAATAGATATCAACAAGAAGTTTTTTACATAAAATAGTTGAGACTTGTGTCAACATTTGAAAGTTTAAACGGTGTCTGTAGCTGAAAGATTCGTGAAGCTGAAAAATCTGAAAGTTGAAGAAGTTTAGGAGGATTTGAAAACAAACTCCATTTGAAAACCATGTTAAAATATTAATGATTATTGATTTATATAAATTCAAGCATAAGAGGTAGAAAGCTGAAAAGTCATAGCCCTAAAGCCAGAAAGGAGCTGAACATTTTAATATTTGTACGGTTTAAATAGCTGAAAATGTGAAGGAGGAGGTTGCGCGGAAGAAATAGAATAAGTCGGAAATAAAGATTCGAAGAACAATACTTGGAATGCATCGTTAATGCATTCCAACAAATATAGCCAGAACAGCCTTTCAGAGTCAAAGCGTCAATGTCTGTCTAATCACAAAGTTCATAGTTCACCCACCTCTATTTTACCAAAGCTCTGAACTAAGCATTCTGCATTATGTTTGAAGGGAACGTATTTACTCAAGGATTATAATTTGAATCGCTTTAAACAGCTGTTGTTTTGTAGAAGGAATTGTAGAAGGAAAGGAGGAAAAGAAGAACTAAAACTGCTGCTGTTTGGTAAAAGGAACATCACAGTGTCTGCATACTACTAAACTCGTTTAAAAATGAACATAAACTTAACTCATATTGACTTTTGTTGTATGGGAAAGTCATTTTAGGAAACAATTCCTTTTTATCACACCCAAATCGTTACATACTGTCAGTATGCAAGACAGCAGTGTTAAACACGTGTGTAACACTAACATATAAAGAAAATAAATATAAATACGGGCTTGAGGAAGTTATTTTGGTTTGGGTGAAAAAAAGTACATGTTTTGTGTAAATTAAGTTAAGTGTGTAACACAGGTGTTTTGGTTTTAAATGGAACACTAACGCCGGTCTGGTGGGAGAAAGTCACGCGTCTCTTGTATTTGCAGGTAGTTGCATGTGGTAAATTGAGGAAAATTCCACTTTGTGTTTAGTGTGAACACAAACTGCATTAAACGCACAGTTGCTGCCATTCACAACCTCAGTTCACCAGCAAAGGCCAATTAGTTTGCTTCGTTTAGGGATGAATAATGGCCTATAATCACATTATGATATGCTTCAATGTTCATATCGCAGACGGAGTCATATTTTGTGAAGGCAAAACGTGGTTATAATGAATCAATGAAATCTATCTAGGAAACTGAAAAGGCCACATCACAATTCACTAGAGCCCCAGCAGGTGTTTTCAAATGTCCGCCCGCCCCCTTTCATTAAGAAAACTCTTGTCTGTGAAAATCGTCACTAATAAATACATGAATGCTTCACGCGGTTTGAAACATTTGAGTCTATTACATGGATATTGAGGCTACAATATCCATGTATCTATTCGGAACTACTCCAATCAGAACTCCAACAAGTTATAAAATCTGATATGCAAATGAGTCCGGAAAATTGCACACGCAGGTAGTTATGCACATTTCTTCAGAGAAGCAAGAAGCTAACAAAGAAAACGAGACACTGAATCTGTAGCCAGGACCACGTGGAAGATGATGATATTTTCTCTCAGAAAAACCTTCCCACGACCACAGTAAAACACCAGGCACCCAGCATGTGAATCATAAATGCTCCTCACCTTTGATCTTTTTTGTGTGTCATATTCATGTATTTCTTTACCAGTCACATATCAACTGATTGTTACAGATCAGAACACTAACCGGCGTTCCCATTCATACTGAAAAAAAAATTGTCAAAGTGGTTACAGAGTTTATTACACATTTTCGGAGCAGGGGCCAAAAAAACGCCTCAGAGTGCCAGGAGGTTAAAAAAGGACTAAAACGTGCACAGTAGTTTGTTTTTACTCACAACCACATAACATTCTCCACTGCTCGGATCGTTCACTGAGAAACACCAAACGAGGCTTCGCCATGTTAGTCGGAGGGACGTCCGCTGGCTTCCTGCTATGACGTGTTGGCGCTACATCGGGGACCCGAGGAGTGATCCGCTTTCCTGTTGCCACAATCTGGTATTCATGAACATTTCCGGACTGTATTTTGACCGCTGCGTGTTTTCAGGACACACCTGCGGAGCGATTGATGGCGACTCGACCATCGAGGTCAAGGTCAGCCACCGTATTGTCCTGATACAGCGAGTGACAATGAATCAGAGCCTGTTAGTCAGCGGGAGGCATTACGAGCAATCCCTCCTGGTAATGCATGAACCATAAGTCCTTCACAGGCCTCTGTGTGGTACAAGGGTAGCGTTCCTCAGGTAATACCCCCTTGACAACACAGCCTGGGATACTGTGCGTCAGCACATGGGACTGTTTTGGCAACAGTTCGGAAAAAGCAAACACAGGCTCTGGCGGGTCTGATCAATTGAGATAAAATGAGAAGCTGAAGCCGAAATTGCTTTTGTCTACCGAGGTCAAGTCCTGTATGTGAGCTCATGCACACACACCTGAAGCAAAGGGCGCTCCCTAACTTAAATGGGTATATCCTGTCTTCCCAAATGAGAGCGGGATGGTCGATGAGAGACATCCAGGTAAAATGTGAATGAGGCAGGCACTGACGAATGTCACGAACGCATGAGATGACAGTGACAGATGAAAGTTAAAGCAATCCCTAGGCGCTATTTTGGGATGGAGTTTGTTTTCTGTCAAATCAAAAGCAGGTTCCTTTACTTGACCTTGAGTTGTACAAAAAAACGACCTTTGAAATATCACAACAATCTGCTTGTGTAGTGTGTCTCCAAGATGCTCGCCTCTGGATGATCAAAACAATTACCTGGTTAATGATTTAAAGAAACTTTCATTCCTGGAAAGATTTGAAAAACACTCGTACCGTGCCCCAATTTCTGTATGACAGAGACGGCAGGGGGGGGGTGAGGGAAGAAAGTAGGCTGCTTGTGCTGTACAGCTACCACTGGAAGTGGGAGTTTAATACATTGCTGGAGAAAGTGACGGCTGGGCCAATGTTACAGCTGCTTTGAAGGGATTATTTTTCCCTGGAAGACATAATCATGTGTAGCACACTTGTTTCAAATCCTGTAAAAAAAAACAGGTGTTTGTGGAGAGAATCCAGGAGAGAACCCCCCATGAAAGATCAGTCATTGGACCTGTGGGTGTCAGGGTGGTTTCAATCCCATCCAGCAGTGAGGAACCCGCTTCAGACACTCACAGGGATGAATGACTGTCACCTTGACACCAGCTTTAGGTCCAAGGTGTTGCCATTATTGTAAAAAAAAAAAAAGATCTGAAATAGATATGTATACAGCCTATATGTGTGGACAGCAAATGCATGAGGAAATGTGTAAAAAGTGAGCGGTGCACTGACCTGAGAGCCCCCACATCAAGCTGAACCAGAGCAGAGGAAGTTTCCTCGGAGCGGTGCTGACCTCCATGGTGGCCGCAGCCTCGCTCTCCGCAACCCGGCCGTTGGCGTCCTTCGTCCGGCTGTGAGCGAACTCTGAGTCGCCTCGAGCGCGGCTCTTTCAAGTCTGTTAAGTGGCTGGTCGGGGTCCCCGCAGAGACGGTGGCGGAGGGAAGGTGAGGGGCACCACTCCTCCGGGGTGAGGGAATCTGGGGAGCTGTCTTGTCCCGCAGGAGCCCCTTTTCGCTGAGGGGGGAGATAAAGTGTAAAATGTATATCAGCCACACCGACGCAGAAGGTGTTACGCGTCCTCCTCTTGGCGCGGGGCTGCAGCCGCACTTACCTCCGTGTCAAGATGGCAACGAGTGACTACTTCTCCTTAAGTTGTCTTGTTTTGTCATTCAGGAAGAGAGAGAGAGGGGAGAGAGAAAAAGAGGGGGAGAGAGAAAGAGAGACACGCAGTGGGGACATAAGGGCCGTTCTGTACCACCTTACTATCAATTCATCAGCAATTCAAAGACAACTACCGGTTATGAGCTTCAAACTAAAGCCCTCTATTTACAGATACCGTCTTTTTTTAATGCTTTGCGCGGCACCCCGCTCTTATTTTGAAAAATGACTGGACAAACACCGGTTATTTTGACACCTATGTGTTCCAGCTCAACACAGGAACACCTGTCTGGTTCGTTATGCAGGTGCAAGGGCAATTTCTTCATGTGCAATATATATTTAGATATAATTCTGAATTTGTCAAACTTAAACATGTGATGCAATAGCCTTAAACATGTAATGCAATATGTACAAATTATAAATGTAATTACATGTAAACAAGTTGATTGCTTTTTTTAGCAAATTAACTTTAGGGAAAATCAATGTGAGTTAAAGCAAATTATCAAAATGTTTTTGCGCATAGCCTTTGGAAATAATTTATTGTAAAAAATATGGTGTCACGGTTAATGTTTCTCAGAAATAAAAAAATAGAATATTAGATAATTTCATCAATCAAACACACCGCATCAAATATCTCACCACAAACTAATTTTTCTTGAAAAAATATGAAGGTTTCTTTCATCAAATTCCTGACAGTCCCCATGTGCTGTTTGCCAATTTAAAATATCCTGGCCCAAGCTTTTTTGACAATAAGCCTATTTTCCAAACCCACACAACTAAAGCTCTATCCTTTCCCCCAGCCTCCTCTCGATGATCTGCAGCTCGTGCTCCATCATGTGTGAAGAGGTGTGGGTCTGAAAGCAGACAAACAGACTGGACTCAGCTTGACGTGAATTCCCAGGGTGAGCTCACCCCCCGATGTAAAAATATGGACTGACCTGTGCTCTCCGCAGTGGTCAGGGCGCTTTATTTCATTTTCCAAGGTTGCCCCGTTGCCTCAGCAACAAGGGTGAGGCTAATGCAGGACGAGTGCTCAATTATGAGAGGTGAACAAGGGTTATTCCTGTGATTGAATCCAAAGAAGCAGGGTCCAAACCTTATGGGAATGAGATTTTGTTGTGTTGTTGTGAATTGCGTCTGGGCCTTCAGCTGGAAGCTGCAGCAATCAGGGGCAATCTATCAAAATAGGCCTGTTTTTATTTTGCTGCAAAAATAGTTTGAGCAGTCCAGAAAAGCTAATACTGGAGTCTGGACCACACTACTAATCCCAACAGATAGTCTGGTCCAGTGGAGAGCAAACCTGACACCTGCAGGCCAAACATATTGCTTTGTCCAATCGTTTGACATACTTTTCAGTGCACCAATGTAGCATCAAACAGCCATTGTAAAGGAGTAATACCTGAGAATGAAGTCTTGCTCAGCTCTTATAGCCCATATACTGTCCTGACTCACAGCATCACCGTAGAAACACAGGACCAACCCTGCGGTTCTCCCTTCCCTTTCACCAATTTGATCAGATTTAATGTTGACAAGTGTCCATCAGTTCCTCAAAATCAAATGTGACATCCTACCAAGTATATAAATATAAATATATATATATATTATTTTTGGACAGACACACAGGCGCTGCACTAGAGGACACTTTGATCAGTTCAGGTCCATGTTACAGAGGAGTTCACCTTGTTGGTACGCTCTGCAGTTGGACAGTATGAGTTTGATCCATGATGCTTTGATGATGAGCATTAGCATTGACTAGTCACATGTACATTCAGGGATATGTTCTGTTATTACACATGGGGTTATTACACATGTATTGTGAACAAAAGATTTAAAATACACAAAATCATAATGGGATATACTGCATATGCGCATTATGTAATTTAAAAGTCATTCATTCCGTTCACTTGCTAAAGTCTTGCTAAAAGGTTTTGGTTTGTGTCTACACATAGGTTCCTCCCCATGCGACTGAGCTGAGTTCATCGCTCAGCCTGCTTCCAGTTACTGATGCCCCGCAAACCGCCTCGTTGGTCCACACTGACGGCTCGTTGAGTTCTTTTCATCAACAGCTCTGTCACCACCTGCTGGTCACATGGGTGAATTGCACACTCTCAAACTTCTCAGGTGCACACAGTGATTGATGGTCTACATCAGAGGTCACACACACATGAGATATAATCTGCAAATTGAATGTTTCTTCTTTCAATATTGGCTCTGTATTGTTCTTTTTTTTTTTTTTTACAACTGGCTCTCACACATTTGTCAGTTTATTATTTATTGTTATCATAAACAAGGTCATCATGTTTGTGGAATTTATTCAGCCTTTTCTTCAATCAGTAGCAAATATATTACACGTCTTCACAGTCTAGCAACTTAGACCTGGACCTTTCATTGGAACATTGAATATGACATGACAAGGAACTTTAAATTGATCGGATTGTTTAAATGAAGAGATTCACTTTTCACCGTGTGGCAAATGACAGTAAGTGCCTCATTTATTGTTTTTTCAAACATGTAAACATACAAGACGGTGACTTCAAAACATTCACATACGAGACATGGTGTCAACCAATAAAATATAAAATATTAGATATTCATCTTCATAGACTGTATACCGAAACAAATGAACATTGCAAGTTTTCAAAAGCGAAAATGCTTAAGAACATCAATATTTTTAAATATATATGTGTATGTATATATATATATATATATACATTATAGATATTTCAGGTAGATTTCATGTATCTATAGATTCAATATGGACCTGTCCCTTTTTTGATACTTCTCTACACTCATCCTCTCCTGGCACATTGCACGTCAACTTTCTTTACCTGACTTTAAGTCGTAGCTCAGGCTCAAGGCCCGTTTCACACCCATCAGAAGGAGTGTGCGTGTTGGTCTACCACTGCAGCTGGGGAGGCTCCAAAAGATACGGCCCCCAATACGTATGACAGAAGGGGGGGCGGGGGGGCATTCTACATGGATGCAGCGTCTGGTCTCTTTACTCTCCGTTGGTTTTACCGGGGACAGAGCTGTAATGTAAAAACGAGGAGGGTGGACCTCACGTGGATGATTTGAAAGCACTTTCTGAATTAAAAGCCAGTTGAGATGTACCTGAGGGCCCTGAGTGGTGTGGCAGTGTTTCAGAGTATCTAGCTCTTGCTTCTGAAGGAGCAAAGCCCTCAACACCACAGACGAGGCATGTGGATGTGCAAGGTCTGGTATGTGAGCGTATGCGCCAATCAGGAACACGTTATCATATCCATCATCATGTCGTTAACACCACACAGGCATCCTGCAGGATGTACTCACAAAGAACATGAGAAAGGAGCGACATGTCGCACTTCTACAGTGTTGCTAAGGCAATTCTTTTCTTTACATCGGTTGCTCATCATGACAAGCAGTCTGAGAAATCTTTCATTAGTGTGCATTATTTACAGCGCTGTTGGCAACACGTAGCGTTTTATTTACTTGCTGCGCAAAGCTGCGACTCCAGTTCGGCATTAAGCGTCAGCGCTGAATTGAAATGGAGAGGAAACCACCAAGGCGGCCGGCCCGTTGGGTTCGTGCACCGTCTCCCAGGTACCTCCCTGCATGGAGTCATCCCCAGCTGCAGCTCTGTTACACAGAAACCAGCACGCCACTCCTCTCGGCTCCGGGCCTCCACAGTCACAGTAATGGCAGACTTGAGAATAAATCCATCCCACTGTCCCCTCGCCGCCTTGTTCGGTACATCCTACGGAGGTAGACGTATGCATGCTGCAGTAGTTACCTAGCCAACCCCACGCTCCCTGATGAGGGAATACTTATCTACACTAAGCGAGCAGCAGACACCTTTGTAGTGCACATAAGCTTTAAATAAGAACATACTTCTTGGATATTGCAGCTCTGTTATACTTAAGTTATTGTAGCTGCAGCTCTGCACAATACATCTGCTTTGTAGTCACTCCTTTTGGACCTAATTAAGGGCCCGATGAGAAATCAGTTCAATAGGCTGTGAAAATATGGCAGACTCCTGCACACATGCGTTGGAAGAGACAGAGCCCCCTTTCTGGGGCCCGGCTGGCGGGAACGCTGTGCTCATCGTATCTTCAGTCAATACAAGGTGCGAAACGCCGTATTTGGTTACGATGTGTCTTTGTTGTTGTATTTCAAGGGACAGCCGACAGCCGTCTCCAGGCACTCCAGCAGGGAGCCCGCCGACAGGAAGTCCAGCTCCACCTCGATGAATTTGATGTAAATGGCGAATCGCTGCGGCGAGTCCTCCGTCCCGTCCCCGTTCTGATTCGCGACGGCGCCGCTGCAGTTCTCCTGCAGGAAACGCGTCACGGCGGGGGGTTCGGCGTGGCCACAGTGTTTGCCGGAGCCCTGGAAGTGCTGGAAGAGACTCTGCTGTATGGTCCTCTCCTCCGCTATGCCCAGGTAGCAGTAGGTCACCTCTCCTACAGTCCTTTCCCACTTCTCCGAACATTCTCCGTCGTCCTGGCTCTGCGCCCCGTTGGGCCGAGGCCAGCTGAGGTCTTCCGCTTCGTAGCCGATGGCGTACAGTCCGTACGCCTTTGGGATGTCCCCGGGAAGGAGGTAGTGGGATGTGCCCTTGCCGCAGCCCGTGGCCCTGGACTGGGACACTGGGATCCAGTCCACCTCCATGTGCAGCTCCAGGCAGCGCGCCTCGCTGATGGTGATGTCCAGGAACTTGTAGTAGACGTTCTTCCAGTTCATCTTCTGGACCCTGGTCATGACCACGCGGCCCTCGGGCTTCTCCGGGTTGAAGTACTCGCGGAGCCTCTTGCCCAGCGGTACCTGTGAGCTGATCTCGGCGTAGTGGTACCGCACGTCCTCGCGCCAGCGCGTGTTGTAGCCCACGCCGAAGATGGCCAGCTTGTTGGAAAGGTGCAGCCGAGAGAACTCCGTCCACGTCTGGAAGTGCTCCCATTTCAGCTGCACCGACTCCAGGATGCGTATCACCGTCTGCATGGTCTCTCTTTTCCTGCGGAGACCACCGGGCACAGAATGGTTCAAACAAGCCCAGAGCTATCACACTAACCCAATATCACCTTGTTAGCCTCTATGAAGCATTAAGTGCAAAGGTCAAATATGAGAACACCCAGCAGTAACATAGAGATTCCTCAAAGCACTTATGAGTGGCATTTTAAAACATCCAGGGAAACACCTCATGGAGGCACATTACATTACTTATAATTAGTTATAATGCATTATGATATAATGCTTAAAGCACTGTATAATTATAGTAATAAGCATTCGGAAATATTCATCATGCTTAATTAAAGCACTCTTGACACATACCGATTTTATAACAAATGATATTGTCAAGTATTATAATGTTTCATAATTGCTGGTCACTCATTGACGAGGATATAGAATTTCCATTATGCTCCGCTACATAATACATTACAATCACTTGTAAAGAACCACAAGGTCTTCTCTCGTGCACACGGTATGCTCTCTCTAACATTTTGAGTTCTTGCATAGATTGTGACTATTTAAACACTGAGCACATTTTGTAATAACAGTGGTTATAAGACATGAGAGCGCTGCTTCATGTCACCGCACCCTCCCTCCTTCCCTCCTTTCTGAATACGCTCCACTAATGGAGGCAGAAAAGGCACCGAAAAGGACCACTGAGCTAAAATACTTCTTTGGAAAATAAAAACAGCAATTATGATGTGTTATGATACTTAAACGTATGAGTCATAAAAGGTATGAATGTGTTTATTGATTTAAAGCATTATGAATATAGACATGGAAGTCATAAAGTACTAACGCTCCTAGCTTCTGTCTCTCCATGGCACTGTTACAAAGATCTAATGCATATCTATAAACATATTCAACCTAACATCCATGACTGGTTTTTACCGGATATGTAATGTGGCAGATGGAGGGCAGGTTGAGCACATCCACTCAGAGGATTTGGAGACACAGAGTTGGCTTTGCAGCAGAAGTTTCACACGATTCATTCCCAACTTCATAACAGACATTTCACTATGTTATAGTTGACTTACTGGATTTGTTCCGACAGCTCTATTTGGATCTGTAGAGCTCGGTTTTTAGGCATCTGGATTTCTTCTAAAGAGGAAAAGAAACACACACCAGAGCTTAAACCCACTGTTTCCGCGTCTCTTTCACTGCTATCTGCTCACTCCCTGCCAACGCACTCACCGGTCTCCATGTCCCCCTCCTGGAAGGCAGAGTCCAGCACCTGGTTGCACCAGTCCTCCTGGGAGAAGTCCTCCAGGGTGCTGCTGTCAGACTCCATCTCCTGGTACAGCCCGCTGCTATTGATGAGCACTGGGGCACAGCTCTGGGAGTCCCAGCCCCCCTGTCCAAACACCTTCTCCAGCTGCTCGATGGTGTAGCTGCTCTTCCTCTTGCCGATGCCGTGCTCCTTCACGCGGCTGTAGCAGCGCCGCAGCGTCTGTGTGTGGTGGTGGGACAGACACAGGATCCGCTCAGCTGTTTGTGGCTGGAACTACAGTTCTACGGAGCAGTGACTCACATCACGGCACTAAAAAGCTAACATTAGGCTGGACACCAGGCCTCATGACTTCCTGCCCCCAGCACCAAGCTGAAGGAGGACTAGTGTTCTAGTGAGGACCGGTAGTCGTCTCATTGAGATGTCTTTTAACCTAGAGGGTCTTTGACAGACAGCAAGACTAAAACCTCTTCAGCTTGACTTAACAACAAACCTGATTCAGACATCTAACCGAAAGCACACGGCTTTGACAGGAAAGTAGAAATGCTGATTTATTTCCAAGATTATAAGACTTTAACTAGTTTGTTAAAGCTCAACAAGAGGTTCATAAAATAAGGGTAAACGGTAGTGGTTCAAAATTAGCCTTAGTGAACTAACCCAACACGATACACTATAAATAAAAGCATCATATACTTTACATCCGATAGCAAATGGATAAATAAGAGACGGGTTCATACAACAAAAACTTTGAGGAGGTTTGTAATTCAGAAGTCAACTAACGTACACATGGTAAAATATATTAAGCACCTTTAAGACAATCGTAAACTAAAAGATGTAGATGTACCATGATGTGCAAGTTTACCATGAAGCAGTGAAAAAAATAAAAAAAAATAAATAAGCAGCCTAAAAAAAATGTTGCTGTAACTGAGCTGTCTGGCCCCCCTGACGGGGTCGGGGTTTGGGTTCAAAGACGAGCTGTCTGGTTACAGTGGTCAGAGCCTTTTGGAGAAGCACAAGTGAATTGAAGCGATGACCTTCGAGGTAATCACACTACTAAACATGTGACAGATAAACGTACTCTCTGCAAAGACCGAAGTGTTCTTAGCTCAAACAGTCAGCGGAGAAAGAGCTGTTCACAATCAAAGGCCACCTACACTCAGCTCCATCAGCTCCATCCAACCGCGGGTCCCACATGGAAAGCACCAACCCACGCATGACACGTGACTTTGCCACATGGCGTTTCTCCTGATGTCGCCTTAGAAGGAGAGCGATTCCACTCAGTGTGCATTTTATTATTTATTTATTATTTTATTCCCCTCCATTTTTGGTAACCTGTTGGAATTCAAATGATGACATTTAAAAGTGTGTCCTTTTTAGTGCCATCTCGTGGTTTGTGGGAGGTTGCTGTTACGACCCCCGGTCTTGTCTGTGTTCTGTGTGTGTGATAACCCTCCTCAGGTGGAGCTAATTGTCTTCATTACTCATCCGCCCTCCCGTGATCTCCTACAGCTGGTTCCTGTTTTCCCATCCTCCAATCGCATCGTCCCATCAGCTGTATTTATGTGTTTCTGGTTGTTCAGTCCATATCTCTCAGGCCGGGTGTAAGGTTGTGTTTGGGGTGCTCTTGTGAAATTGGTTGTACATGGTGGAGTGTTTTGGAGTATTGAAAGTATTAATCATTTGTATTTCGTGTGTCCTTCCCAGGGAGAACGGAAAGCACTTGGGAGTGTTAGGAAAGACGCCCTGGGCATACATCACCCGTAGGGATATCTCCTGTTATACACACCAGGTTAGATCTGAGCGATCCACCCCCTGTATTTTTGGTTAGGGCGCCTTGCTCGAGCGCCAGAGTAAATAAGTGTTTTGTGTAGGACGTTGGGACAGGTAAGGGGTGGGGTTTTGCTAATTTCTTTGTTTTGGATCAGCTCAGCCGTCCTCCCATTTCCCTCTATTGTTTATTATTATTATTATTATTATTATTATTATTATTATTATTATTATTATTATTATTATTATTATTATTATTAATAAACTGGCACGTGCTAGCCTGTTTAAACCAGACCCATCGATGTTGGTGTGATTACTTGCGCCCACACCCGGTCTCTGGCCGTCTGGGGTTCTTGGCAGCGCGGTGTATGTTCCCCTCCCCTCACGGGGTGCTGTACGTGCGTAACAAATGGGGGCTCGTCCGGGATACTGTGTCCCCCGCTGCTTGGACCCTGACAAACCATTGACTGGTGTGGATGAGGAGCCATTTGGTACCTCGTCCACACGGTCGGTGGACGGTGTGGGGGTTGTGAATGGGATGACCTTTAGTTTGTTGTGTGTTCGGTTATAGTGTACATGATGGCTACTTCAGCCATCTCCAGTTTTGTTGATGTCCCCTCAGTCGCCGCAGAGATCTCTCCCCTTCCCGCTGGGCCGCAGCGATCTCCCCTTCGCGCTGGGCCGCAGCGATCTCCCCTTCGCGCTGGGCCGCAGCGATCTCCCCTTCGCGCTGGGCCGCAGCGATCTCCCCTTCGCGCTGGGCCGCAGCGATCTCCCCTTCGCGCTGGGCCGCAGCGATCTCCCCTTTCCGCTGGGCCGCAGCGATCTCCCCTTCGCGCTGGGCCGCAGCGATCTCCCCTTCGCGCTGGGCCGCAGCGATCTCCCCTTCGCGCTGGGCCGCAGCGATCTCCCCTTCGCGCTGGGCCGCAGCGATCCCGCTGGGCCGCAGCGATCCCGCTGCGCCGCAGCGATCCTCCCGTTCCGAGGCTCTCAGTCCCTGCCCCGAAGCCCCCAGCTATCGCGTGTTTAAGTACTGGGTTACGTTTGGTTGTTTTGTCGCAAACTGGAGGTTTGCTGTTTTTGTGGTGGGCGTGTTACGACCCCCGGTCTTGTCTGTGTTCTGTGTGTGTGATAACCCTCCTCAGGTGGAGCTAATTGTCTTCATTACTCATCCGCCCTCCCGTGATCTCCTACAGCTGGTTCCTGTTTTCCCATCCTCCAATCGCATCGTCCCATCAGCTGTATTTATGTGTTTCTGGTTGTTCAGTCCATATCTCTCAGGCCGGGTGTAAGGTTGTGTTTGGGGTGCTCTTGTGAAATTGGTTGTACATGGTGGAGTGTTTTGGAGTATTGAAAGTATTAATCATTTGTATTTCGTGTGTCCTTCCCAGGGAGAACGGAAAGCACTTGGGAGTGTTAGGAAAGACGCCCTGGGCATACATCACCCGTAGGGATATCTCCTGTTATACACACCAGGTTAGATCTGAGCGATCCACCCCCTGTATTTTTGGTTAGGGCGCCTTGCTCGAGCGCCAGAGTAAATAAGTGTTTTGTGTAGGACGTTGGGACAGGTAAGGGGTGGGGTTTTGCTAATTTCTTTGTTTTGGATCAGCTCAGCCGTCCTCCCATTTTCCCTCTATTGTTTATTATGATTATTAATAAACTGGCACGTGCTATAGCCTGTTTAAACCAGACCCATCGATGTTGGTGTGATTACTTGCGCCCACACCCGGTCTCTGGCCGTCTGGGGTTCTTGGCAGCGCGGTGTATGTTCCCCTCCCCTCACGGGGTGCTGTACGTGCGTAACAGTTGCAGCCAACCAAATACCCCTCAGATCAGCCCCTCCCCTGACAACAGGGAGGGGGGGTATCTTTGTTAGAAGTTTATTTAGTTTAGGTAACTATGGGCGACCATTATCAATATGTATTCTACATGACTAAATTGTTCTGAAAAAGATATACCACATTTAAAAACTGAATTAGAAATTTTGAACTATTTGAAGTCATTGCAATTTCACAGGAAACAAATACAAAATGAATGCTGTTCATAAAGAAACAGACATCTTCTCTTTTTGGCTGGTTTGTCTCAAGTTTACAGAAACAAAGCTTTTGACCGATCAAGCTTGTTGTTTTGGGGATTTTATTAGAAAACATGATTATCTCCCGCGCGACCTAATGATTCTTTTGTTGCTGCTCATTTCTTTAAAAGCTGTTGGAATTTACATTTTCATATTTAAGAAACATGGAAGCTGAAAAGGAAAATATATGCATGTCCCATAAATATGGAAAGTTGAAACAACATTGGGCTGTTCTTTCTTGTGACAGGTGTGCTTGATCTAAATAAAAGCTCTGGTCACATGTTGATTTCAATTACAACCTCAAACAATGAGGTGGTAAAAATTGTGATATTGTTTATGCGGGGATCATCGCGCGGAAATAACAATCTATTGAGATGTCCCATTACGGTCTTGAGACGCGATGACACGCGATCACATGATGTCAGGGCAACAGCGTGTGAGGGTGGAGGGCGGACATGCGCCGCCTCGTTTTACCTTCATCCTCTCCCTGCACTGGGACGGGGTCCTCTCGTATCCCAGCTCCGACAGGGCTCTGGATACCCGCTCGTACATGGCGGGCCCGGGGGCCTTACCGGAGAACACGGTGCCCGCCACCTCCAGCTGCTGCATCCGCGCCTCCGTCAGCCTCTCGTTGCCCCACACCGCGATGAGGGCGTTCGTCTCGGACGGGGTCCACGACATCCCCCGGCAAGCCGTGAAGCTGTTGGAGGATGAGGCCGCCGTCCGGCCCGCGGTCCCCGAGCCCACGTTCAGAGGCGAGAAGCGGTTAGGCGTCGAGGGGTTGGAGTGGTATTGATTGCTGTCACTCAAATCCTCCGACTCGGGGGATGGCACCTCGGTTTTCGGTATCTTTAACGGCGTCGATATCTCCGGAGAGTGCTCCGCTGTACTGGACGCCGCCATGTTTCCTCTGTTGCTAAGGGGAGGGGGGGAGGGAGGGTGACGTCAGGGGCTGCGCGCTGGGAGGCATGGAGGAAAACCCGGGCTGGATCCGAGGGGGGAGTCGCAGAGGGAGGATGTTGGAAGAGTTTGACTGTCGTTTTTGTCAGAGGTCATAATTATGAGCCCTCTTTTTCCACTCCAAAGGTGTCTTGGTTGGCAGCACACATGGTTTTCACGTGTTTATGTTTTGATGATAGTAATAAACGGCAGTTTTTCTTAGTAAGAGAGTGTCGCTTTTTCAAAGGTTTTAATTTTACAACAGACCCTTTTTTCACTGCAGACATTTGGAGTTATCGTAGCAGGAGAACAGGGAATATCATCTGCAATAATGTTTGACTTTTCCGTAAGCATAGGGTGTACTGTTACTTATTTTTCCTCACATGTGTAAATATAAGTAATAATATCCAACAATAGGCTGCAACGTATTATTATCTACAAAAGTACTTAAGGGATTTTTATGAACAATAAATAATTTTCTTTTGATACACACTTGTTTTCACTGTGTTAATAATGTCATTAATGTCACGAAAGGTTAATGTCATGAACGGTCAGCAGTAATAAAAGCATTAATATCAGCATGATGTGCTAACATGCTTAGAATGACGGTGCTCACAATTTAGTTTAGTGGTATGATGCAATGATTAGTTTTGTGAACAGAAGGCAAACTAAGACACATTTGCTTATTTAAATGAAAAATGTTCAGTTTTAGGACACATGTAGGATGTTTACAGTATATTTATTGCGAATGTTGCACATTTTGGGGGTATTTGTGTATATGGAAGATGCCTATTGACAAAAAAAATGTCCCATGAGTGGATTCTATAACACTCCCAGTGATGTGTTGTCCAACAAGTCCCTGCCATAGGCACTAAATGACACCTTTTATTCGATTTTTATTGTATAATTGGTCATTTGATGACCCGAGTGATTGATTGTGTCATTGTTAACTTCATCTTTTCCATGACAATGTGTGATTGGCTTCCCTCTGGGACTACAAGTCATTCCAGCCTGCTCTGCCATCTGTGCAGGGTTCTGTGTGTGCGTGTGTGTGTGTGTGTGTTGGTCAGTAAGGTCCTGACCTGGTCAAAGCGCCCGAAGGATCCTTCTTCAGATGAGGCTTACATACTAGCTGTCCAATACAGGTCAATGACAGGAAACAGTAGACCGTCTAACCTTTATATGTCAAAGCTGCAGCTGTCAATGAGCTGTCATTTTCTGACATCAAGACGAGACGATATGTGCCTGAATCCCGTGTTATCTACAACGGTTTGCTTCTGGAGTTAATTGACTTTCTGGAAGTGTGGTGCAAAGTTGTGTAGAAACTAAACAATGATTTTTTCGATGTTGTATTTATTTTCATTGTCAATGTCAAAGTGTGCTTAAAAGACGGACAACAAATGAACGTGTTGTGTATCTTGTTCCTCCTTGCAATAGAGCTCAAATCTCAATGAGCCCCACCTCTGCACTTCATGAACACACACACACACTGTAGTTTATTTTCAATCAATCCCACATCCACTCTTGTACTGCACCAAATACAGAGCGGCGCACCAAATGTGTCAAATGTGCTACTTAGTGCAAGCTAAGAAACAACAGAAACTGTAAAAAAATATTTCATTTAAAATGCTTTGATGTGCAGAATCCCCCTTTCGATACGACTGATGAGTCTCCCAGATTCGGTCAGCTCATTTAAGATAAAACTTAAGACCTTCTTCTTTGATATTGCTTATAGTTAGGGCTGGCTTAGGTTAGCCTGAACCAGCCCTTAGTTAAGCTGCTATAGGCCTAGATTGCTGAGGGACACACCGAGCTTCTCTCTCACTCTCACCCTCTCCTTCTACAACAATCCACGTTTTATTATAGCACATGACCAATTCAGCTTCTTTTGTGCTTTCTCGCCTTGCAGATCTCCATAGATTGTTGTTCCGTCTGGACCCTGGTCCTGACTCCTGCCTGGCCCCAAGGACACCTACCGCTTCTAACGCAATTGATGCTCCCATTTCTATTGTTGTAAACATTAAATGCACATCACTAACTTTGTTTCTTTCACGGAGTATTTGTGCTTTCCCACCTCACAGGTTTCTGTGGATCATGGTTTCTTCCCTCTGGTTTTAATTTTTGAGAGTTTTTTCTGTGCCGATGTGAGGGTTTTGGGACAGAGGATGTTGCATATGTACAGACTGTAAAACCCGGTGAGGCAAATTTGCAATTTGCGACTTTGGGCTATACAAAATAAAATGAAAAAAAAATCCCTTTATTCATTCCATATATATTGGCAGAGATTTGATGGAAAAGTGGGCTTTGACTGGATTTGCCACTGGCACATTCCAAATCAGTAAGGTCAAGTCTTCTGTGGCCTCATTTGTGTTTTAATATTCCTGAAAGCACAGCCGAACAGAATGGTGAGGATCTGTTAATCTATGTGCCATCAAGAGTCGGCCAGTACGTTCTAGGAACATGTATGGACATAACTTAAAGTTAATGAGAGGGATCTTTATTTGCACATGTGCAGGACACTGGCTTCACCTTTTAGTACCACAAGCCTCATGACACCTCATGAATTCCAAGTTTTTTCTAAGTTATAATCCTAAAATGATCATCAGAGGGATAGATGGCATTTTTGGAACCGTAATTGAGTGCTCCGACTGCATTTTAGGTGCCAGGATATTGTGTGAAGGATGTTTTTTATTGTTTGCAACTTAGAAATTGTGCTTTTCGTCATTGTTAGAATGTCATTGGCCTCAAAGAGGTGGCCACAATAATCATTAAATAACTTTAACACTGACTTAAACATGAAACAAATCGTCTAAAATGTCCTTACTCATAAGTCTGAATCTGAAAGCGTATATTATAGGAGGTCTAAAAATCAACCTTTGTGCTACTGACGGCTTCAAGATTAATTTCCCCCTTCAGTCAGGTGATGGATTTATTTTTGTCTCCATGCTCATCTTTGATCGGGCCACATCTGTTACCCATGAGCCTCAGTCTTAATGACAGTGCCAGCAATGCCCTGGAGTGTTTTCATTTAAGCGTATCTGAGGGAAGTCCTACTTATTATGGCTACAAACTCATTACTCTACATGTATGGAGTGACATGATGATTATTAAGTTAAAGCGTGTCCCACCAGCTTACATGTCGTACGGTGGTCAGGTGACCAGGTAAGCATGTGCAGGTCTTTTTTTTTGTTAAGCTCAAAGTGGTAAAAGTCATGTGACAGAGAGTAACATAGCATTTGATGCAGCAGGCTATGTCACACACACTCAATAAAATAAAACAACATGAAATACTGAGCATGTATGTCCAATGCTTTCAAACAGTTGTGTCAGACACACAGATGGATCCAGTTCCTGTAATAGAAATGTTTAAGTAACACCTTACTTAATTGTTAGTGAAGTCAATAGGACCCTGGCATTCTTCCCTCCTCTTGTATCATCACAGTGAATATTCACTCTACATTTAAAATGGTGCAAAATAGTACAAAAGTTGATTATGCAGTAAAATAATTGGTTTTCCATATTCCAGTCATTTAGAAGCCCCTCCTTTTGTCTCTGGGAATGAGCCGTTATTTCAAAGAAGACTTTTCACATCTTTCATCAGCTTCAGTTGCATCTCATGCATTCCCATCGTCACAGTGCTTCTCCTGGATGCTTACCAGGTAGGTGTGAAATGACCATGACATGGGCTGCTTCCATGATACTGATTGCAGGAGACAGGAGTCATCTCAAGCATGTTGGAAATCATGTCTGTCCCCTACATTTAGGCTGCAGCAGACCAGGGAACCAGCATGGAATTTCAGGGACTAAGCCTAAGAAGTCCATCCCAATGAAATTAAGGGAAGCAGTTAAACACTTTAAACTATAGTCTTATGCTATAACATACTGCTTCCGCTATATTTCACATAGGATAAGAAAAATATGACATACCAGCAATGTTTACATCATTAATACACACAACTTTTTATGCTGATTCAAACATTGGTGAGTTTGATTTATAAACCTTTGCAGCTGACTGAAAGTATGCATTCGTGTCAACTCTGGAATTTTCCACAGGACACTACGGTCGGATTCTTAAACAAAAGAACCCCCATGAGTCTCCCGCTGACTCTCCTGATGGTGAAACTCAAACACTCCTCTTAGCCAAGCCTCCAATCAGCATTTAGCTCTTTAACTTCTTCCAGCTGGGTCCTTGCGCCCCCCTCCCTCCCCAGTGGATTCCCCTACCCTGAGCTAACCTCCCGGAGCGACAAGAAGGCCCAGGTGCTATCACTGAACGAGATGTCGGGGTAATTTGGCTCGGTGCGCCCTAACACACACGCCCTCCATACATCAGCGGCGGGGAGGGACTCTGGACATTAAACAATGTCTCATTAGGTTTGTTTGGAAGAGACAGGACACCTAATGAGACGCAGTGTAATGACCAAAAACATCTGATCTCCACCCGCTCTAAACAAAACATCCAGGTAGGGCCTGGGGTCAGGGCCAAAGTCATGTCAAGCCTCCCTGACTAAAGGAAGCAGGAGAATAGGGAGGGGGGGCACTGAGGGAATCCAAGTTCAGGCATGTATGAAGGAGAATGGCGAGTGACAATAGATCGTACTTATGTGGAGATGCCCTTTGTCTTCTGGATGCTCAAGAATGAATCCCTTGTTTGGTGAGTCTCATGGGATCTGGGTTTTATCTTTAATTTATGTTAATCAACGAGTAGCCTAAAGGGAATTTTAACCTTTTTTTTCAAAATCAACCACGTTTGCGAGTTTGTGAAGCAAGATGGGGGACATCAGGAAAACAGTGTTGTAACCGGTGTATCTGAAAGTTTGCGCGCCACCCAAAATGGCCAGCAGCTGGGCGCCACCACCCAATTAAATCTAAATTTCACGGACAGCTTTTTGAATTAGGGACATTTCTCAGCTCATTAACATCTCATGAATGTTAAAACAAAAGGCCAAACATTTGCAGTGATGATGATGATGTAGTTTGCAGTGTCATCAGAGATGATATTCATAAATCACAATCTGAATGCTGTGCTTTGTTTTGGTGATTCCTTTTCTGTTACAAGCCTGCACGTTGTTATATATTATGTGAGATTTAACATGGCAAACAGATTTCAGAAAGAGCGTTGGTTAGGGACACTCCCAAATCCCCCATTTCGTGTTCCTGCAGCCAGCTATATGAGGAGGGACTGCGTTGGTTTGCAATCCCCCAAATGTCAGGCATCAGTGAAAAGACAAAGGAAACAGTTGACAGGAATGAATGAAGGACTGCTAATGGTCATTGCTGTCTGTTGATCCGCTGTCCCCTCAGAGAGGGCTGTTTGGAGGGGAGGGCATTTGTGAGGTTGGAGAGGTGGAGTTGATGAGGGATGATGGTCCCTCTTCATAGTGGAGAGGAGTGCTGTGATCTTCCACCTCCCCCCTGCTGGACCTCAGGTGCGGAGCAGCTGATCCACCTAAAGGCCTCTTGACCCACGGCCTGTCCACAGCTCAATACGCCATTAGCCTGTGCAGCTGACCTGACCAGTGCGGCCCCCTCACTGTCTACTGCCGGGACGCTGGGAGACGCAATAATTTGTGCCCATGGAGACAAGTTAAACATTGGAGGAGTGTACCAGTTGTATTATTTAGTTTAGAATAGTGTTCAAGTGATTGTGTTTATGTAGTCTCAGTTAATACATATAGGAGCTTAAAATATGTTGAGAGGGTTATTTAATTACAATCAAAATCTCTTAAACCTGTGTCAACCACAGACCTTATTTTAAGCATCTGATCAAAAAGCCATTTTCTTTGAGACGAGTGCACTGTACCTATTTACTCCAATGAAGGATCTGGTGTGAGTAAGTCAGATCTTCAGAGTGGAACTATAGTTGTTGGGAGTATTATTGTTTAGTAGTCATGTTAGTTTGTATGCGCTCACTACTTAAAAAAGTGGTGTTGAAGTATAAGCTTTGAAATCAGTTTAAATGTCAAGATAATACAAAATCAGTTGTCAACTGATCAGTAAATGTGGCCACTTTGTCTTGGTGTTTTTGGAGGGATTGGGTGCGGGGGTCATTGCCTTCAGGGAAGACTTGCACTGATTGGAGTCAGCCAAGCTGGTGTACGCCAGTCATCTGCGCATGCGTGGGTACCCGAGCTGATTCTGATCAAATTGACCTATCGGGCACCCCTGGTTAAGTATTTGAAGTTCAGGCTAGCATAGGCTGAAGCATCACGAAAAAAACAAATGCCAATAACTTCTTTCCATTAATGGGTTTAAAAATAATAATAATGATTTGAAGAACAATACTTGGAATGCTTAATGCATTCCAACAATAACTGCAAGAAGAAAAAAAATCACACCAAGTCTCACCTGCAACCGACCTCACCAGGGTCCACCCACAATGTAAGACAGTCTAAGATCATTGAACTGAACCCCACTCTCTCGGCAAGCCCGAAGGACCTCCAGATCCTGCTTGTGGAAACTGTTCATTCGGATGCACCTGCAGAGCACAAACAATGGATTTCAGTTTGAAACAAAGAGCCCAAAACGCAGAACGTGCACATCAATGGAGTTGGGTGGGAAGAATGGCCAGCAGCACCTGTATGCCTGTCCTTTGCTCAGCCTCTCAACAAACAGATCGATCTTGTGCGACTCCAGCTTCGCTTCCTTCTTCATGAGCCTCTTCAGGAAGAAAACCACAGCTGCGATTTCTCTCCTCATCTTTCATTACGCTCCGGCAGCCCCTGTAAAAAGATCGCCTATAGTCCGCAGTAACGCGGAAACTAGGTAACTATGAAAGAAATAGGAGTTTGAGTGAAAAGCTACACAACTAATTAGTCTCGACAGGTCAGAATCTTGTTTTAAAGATATCCAACTCGCAGAAGGAACGTTAAAGTTAACATTAGATAACTAGAAAACAACTAAAGATGTTTGTCCGGATTATGTTTGAGATTATTTTTAGAATCCTGCTAGCTAGTTAGGCTAACACTCCAAATACTCCGCTCCAAATACAAATACATCTCAGTGCGGACTGAGTTATTTAGTCCGCACTGAGATGCATTTAAAACCGAGCTGATTGTGAAAACAGTGAGTATTCTGTTAAAGAAATATAAGGCATTAGCTTATTGTCAAACGTCAATGCCATATAGTTGAGTTAGCAGCCTCATGCTGCTAAAAGAACACAGCATCAAGTTACTTTAGTGCCAAAAGTTTGAAAGTCTTAATAACTTGTGATACATTTACATACTAATCACACTGAGGGACACCTATCTAATAAAGCTGAGACATGAGGCTTTCTGCATTTTGACTCTTGAGGTTCGGTTATCAACGCGCCCTTTTCAACACAGGACCCACCTCCCGATTGTTCATTAGTTCAAAACCGACCAACATGGTGGATTTATTGGTCGAGCACACGCTCGTTATGGAGTGAATCGTACTCCGTGCTATCATCAGTCACAGCTTCAAGCATGTTTGTTGTAATCCAATAGCAGCATCTAGCAATGTCAATTCTATCATAAAAAGTGAAAAGTAAAGTAATGTTTACACAAACGGCGATCACAGGAAAAGTTGCAGTGTGTTATTTCGTTGTGAACGAAATTGTTTGACAAATTAGCCTTCTCAGTTTATTGTGAGACTGATTAACAAACTGCGAAAATGAGGCAAGCAAAATATGTGACATGACAAATTACTGAAATATGAATACCAATATTGGATGGAAAATTGTTCATCTACACAGCATCATTCACTTTTCGTTGTAGTAACCTAGAGTCCTTTTTATTATTATTTTTTGGTCCAAGTTTACGTTCTGTCATCGACTGAATCAACAAATATTAGAACAGTAAATACTAACGGGCTCAATAAGAATCATCATTGTTTAAAATAATGAAACAGAAAAAAACATCAAGGTCATGAGTCAAGACGTTTGTTTAGGTTTATAGTGTATACGTTTCTTCACAAACTGAATGAAGTAGAGGTCGATGAGGCTTACAAAGCTAAAGAAACGATACAAAATCTTAGTTCAATCTCATCACGTAATTTGCACTCTGGGCTAAGAACAAGTGAAACACAATCAGTGATTATGAAAAAAGTAGAATAGATATCAACAAGCAGTTTTTTTGTAAAATAGTTGAGACTTGTGTCAACATTTGAAAGTTGAAATGGTGTTTGTAGCTGAAAGATTGGCGAAGCTGAAGAATCTGAGAGTTGAAGAAGTTCAAGAGGTTATGAAAACAAACTCCATTTGAAAACCATGTTAAAATATTAATGATTATTGATTTATATAAATTCAAACATAAGACGTAGAAAGCTGAAAAGTTAAAGTTAAGGTGCCACGGAAGAAATAGAAGAAGAAGTTGATTAAAGATTGGAAGAACAATACTTGGAATGCTTAATGCATTCCAACAATAAGTACTTTGTCTATGTTGATTCTTTTGTCAGGATTAAAGGGAATCCCTCAGAGTGTTCTGAAAAATCAGTATACATATACTATATCTTACTGGTGTAGAAATAAATCAATATAAGATTCAAATTTATGAATCACCTGAAATAAAATCACTAACAGCCCTATAAGTTCTATAAAAAAGTTGTGTTTGGAGTACTTTAAAACAGGTAAGTGCAGATCGTAGCCAATGTTTCAAACGTTGTCAAGCATTCATATATTTCGTGATGAGTTCAGAATAATCCTGTTCTGGCTCGGTTCTGGATTGTTTCTGAGCCAAAATGGTCGCTGCTTGGGTGAAACCGATTTAACTTATGTCACTGAGCTTTTGATTCAAACTGTATAAAAGAAGGAAAACATCAGATTGGTTAATTAAATGAGACTAAGGCTACAAGTCCAAAATACACACAGGCTTCAACAGCTCGGAGATTCTGCACCACCCACTCGTTCCACACTTGCAAAGAGATGCAATCACTATGTAACTCACATATCTTTGAATTGGCCCTTGCTGAATAATTGCACAGATGAGTGAATATTGTCATACACGTTCAAAATGCATATTTCCACCCCAAGGATTACTTTTTATGCACAGCACCGGGTAAAATAAGTTGTAATAATATCCTGAGTGTTCATACCGAATCCCTCTTTTATGCGAACAAAATTAAACGGATAAGAGTGTATTATTGTTGACCTTCATCTATCAAAAACCCTCCTCCCTGTACTTCACTGTCAGCACTCCTCAACTGACATGAGCTCCCGTGTGCACCTGGCATGTAAAAATCACAGCACCACAGTCCAATTGAAGAAAAAAAAAGAATCTACCTGCTTATTGGGTTTTGTGCTGGCAGGATGTTTTCTCAGAGGACGGGTGTGCAGATGAGTTTGAATGGTTCTACCCAATAAAAATAATTATTTAGGGTCTGTAACTTTTGGTGTTGTGACATTTCCCTGCAAGGTTAAAGGTCACTGACCAAATGTCAGGAGTACAGGCAGATGGCCGACTGTTGTCATTGCCTAATATTGATCTTGTTGATACATCTGATCAACTGAGATACTAAAGTTTTTCCTTTGTGTTTATGGAGGAGAATTTTAATTTTAAATCGTTAATTTCCACCATTATTACAGATGAACTTCTGTTGGAAGAATAAGGAAATGTTGCTGAGGTGAGTCATTTGATCTACAATTTTTCATTCATCTGCAGAGACAAAGAGTTTGCAAGGCTTTAGCGGTTATCCATTCATTTAATCCTTTTGTTAGGACAAAAGCCCATGACTCAGCAGGATTACCTGAAAGAAAAGGGTCCCAGAACATCAGAACATGGCTACCCCCCAATCCAACAGAAAGGGAGATGAATCTGGAATAATAAAGCAGGAAAAGGTTTGTGACTGTCAGTATATACGAATATGTGCACGCATCTGTGTGTGAGTGATGAGCAGCGTGTGTGTCTGTGTGTAGTGCAGCTTCCCTGCTGTGAGCCTAATTAAAAGGAACTGGGTGCAGAGGGGCTGCTTTGGCGCCCAACCGAGTCCCTTTATATCCCTGCTTCCCTCCCTCTCTATCCCCTGCCTTTGATTACCGTGGAGCACTAATGCCCCTCAATCTCTGCCGCACATGTGACCCCTCGGTGCCTGAGAGGAGGAGAGGAGATCTTTGTTGTGCTTTTATTTTGTCCATTTTTTCTGGAATTGAAATTAAATTTGACTAAGTAAGTGTAAAGGTGTTATGATTGTAAAATTCAGGACTGTTTTCCCTCTGCTGCTCCGTTCAAACAACCCAGCCAGCAGACTGACTGCAACTCATTCTCCTTTTTAAGATCCTCTCCCAAAAATGAGACATACGTGTACATCAATGTTTGTACTAAATCCGAAGAGAGCTTGTAGCTACTTTACGGACCAAAAACCAAATTTTTTCACCTTCACAGATATTTTTGTCTAAAAAAAAGAAAAATACTTCAAATTGGGTGACGCGATGGAAACGTATTACATTCGGTACGGGATGGGGGCGCGTTCATGTCCTCACAATGGGCGTGGCCTTAGCTTATTCCATTCAGGGTCAATCTTTGGCCCCACTCACTTATGATATGATTGAATGGAGCTATTCACTGTAGAAACTAAACGGTTTTTGGTTCCATGCCTAGCTCTGAACATGTTTATCTCTAATGTAAACCTGGGTATTGTAACATCTATGGGGATGTAGATGTCGGTGCCAGCCTCAAGCAGCCATTCAAACACCTACAATTTTTGGAGCTTGGGTATTGGTTCCTTTTCTCAGCAGGTCGTCGCTTTGTGTCACTAGCACTATACAGTAACCACATATCCTCAAACAAAGGTGACGTATGATATCTTAAAAAAAGTTACTCATCATTTTCATGTTCATTGATGGTGAATTAATTGATGATGTATAAGAATCAGAACATTTGTCTACTCAGGATAAAACTGAGTTAGTTAAAGGTATTTAGGTACATTTACTAAATGATTGGCTTGTGAGTCAAAATAATAACGTAGGTAACATAATTATTCATTAAGCATAACATGTGGCAAGTAAACTAACGTGGGCTGGGAAAAGAAAAACGGCATCTATGCTGAAAGATCACAGTTGGACTCGCTTGTCCTTCAGCTGTTGTTAAGTGTCCTCGTTCATGATCACGTGCAGAACATGCTAAAGGATTTTTAGGTGATTTTTTATGTATGCTGACTCGTCGTCAGCATTTTTGCACTTTGAGTTCCCCTTGTCTCAAATTCAACGTATTTTTGATTAAATACTTTTAATTATGTCTGTGTAAGACAGGGGTGCCCACACTTTTCAGCCTCCGAGCTACTTTTCAACTAACCAAGTCATGGTGATCTACCCCCGCTTCCGAGAACCGGCCGGCTGGCACACAAAGTCACACCTCAGAAACAGGAGAACGCCATGACTGTCACAAAACACAGAATATAAAAGGGTTTTCCAGGCTGCTCAAGACCAAACAGGAAGCCTGGCCGGCTTCATGCAACAGAGGAATTATGGGCGGGGGGGGGGAGATCAGCTGTCAATAACGAGCTCTTCCACTTCCACGTGCACAAAAAACATGCACTTAAACACACACTGGCCAATTTGAGTTTATCCTTGTGTGGAGTAAGGGACATAATCCCCTGCTGTAATTGCATTCGGGGGGTTTCTGAGAGGCTTGATATACCACTGAAGCCACTTTAGCGCCGGAAGACGCATCTCAAGGCTCTCCAAGGTCGGAGCTTGACAACATATGTCTCTCAATTCCTTAATCCCTCTATTCCAAAACAAGATGGCTAAAATACCTGCTTCAGGGCTGGTAATTACTCCGACACCTCGATGCCCCTTTTGTTTTGACTCGATTTAAAATAAGGAACAATGGCAGATGCATGAAAAATGAAAATCTACTAAAGAAGAGAGAAAGGAAAGTAAAAGACAGAAAGTTGTAGAGGGAGATGTGTCCATTTTTCCACCCTGACTTTTAATTAAAGTTGCTTTCAATGAGGTGCAGGGTTGGTATTGAGAGAGATCAAGTCTGTCCTTGGCAGGATTTAGAGTCTACGCTGTGATGGATTCACCATTCTGTAGCTTTGGTACGACAAAAGTAGGTGACTTAGTCAGAAATCACACCCAATATCACAGTTTACTCTGATACAGTCATGTGTTTGTACATTTTTTGTTTTAGAAGTAATTTTGTGTCAGAGAGTGCTGATAACGATTCAAGTATTTAGCTTCCCTATGTGCCCTTTGGCCAACCCTATTAACTCCGAAAGGAGGTTCCCTTATAACCCAACTTCAGTCTGAAGTACGTGGAGAGGGAAACATATCATCCAAAATCGTCATTTTAAACCGTTTAAAAAATTGGGTTATTGTTGTATACTGAAACACAAAAAAAACAAATACAAATTTTTTTGGTTTGGCAAAAAATGATTTAACATAAAATTGATAGAAATTGAAAAAAGTACTTCAGAAAGTTTCAAATGGGACATGAATGTGGTAGACGACCACCTCTACATCCTTGTTGTCTTCTGTTGACTCACTTAAAAAAGCATTTCATATGTAAAAAGAAGGTAATCCAGGATATACAGAATAGTTTACTTTGAAACCCAATTGTCTGTGCTGTTTCATTCTATAGCAATAATATTGTTCGGAGACCGGGCTCCTTTTGTTTCTCACTGTGAACCTCAAGATCCAGATGTTTTAAGCACAGCTTCCCTATCTAATTGGCATTGTGCAGCTCCCTGTCATCATACATGTTTTATCACAATTTCTTCATCATCATCAGGTCCAACGGAACTTGCATCCCTTTTGTGACAGTGTGACGGACCCCAGATGATACCAGACAGAGGTGGTCATCCATCACCCTTGTCATGCGTCCCTGCACCCCCTCCAACTATTCCACAGCCCACATCACAGCATGCATATTCACAGGAGCTGGTGTCCCGTCTGAGTGAGCTAAAATTGCCCTACCCTGCGCTTCTCTTTCCTTACAGTCAATATTAAAATGGGCTAATAAAGAGGGGCAAGATTCCCCGCGGTAATGGCTCCCTGGAGACCCCCCGACTAATTAAAGGGCTGCCCCTCCCAATGAACAGTAATCACTCACGGCTCAGGGTGGACAAATACACAAGCTTTGTGTGGCCGAACAAACATATAGGATAAGAGAATGAAGAGATAACACCCCCCCTCCCCCCGCCCACACACACACACACACACACACACAAACACTTGTATTAGTAAAGTCGACATTTTCTTTATTAAGAAAAGGTTCCTCAATGAAGTACCCTGATTATGTGGATTCAAGTTCAATCCTACATTAGATGCAACTCTTACTTCCAATCACCAAGAGGAAGAAGCAGAGAGACAAAGAGAAGACAAGGAGTCAGATTGTTTTACTTCCTATACAGATAACCTTCCTTTTCATTTTTTGCACACTTTGCTGTGTTCTTAAGACGCAGAATAAATGTTTTCTTGATGAATCCCATTGTCCTCAACATTGGAGGACGAACAGGATGGTTATTATTTTTTCAGTGACCGCTGCATCCAGCGAACCAAGGAAGTAAAAATGGTTCCATCTCTGAAACTGTCTCCAATTAGCATAATTGATGTGAATGGTGTACTGTTTCTTTGTTTAAATATTATCATGCGCAAAATGTTATCCTAAATAGGAAAACCTTGGTGAATGACAAACTGTGTGAGTGGGTACTGGACTGAACGGGGGTCTGCCTTACGGTCCTGTTCCAATGGTCACATTGCTACAATCATTATAACAACAGGGTACAATGCAAATAATATGTTTATTTCCTCTGGAAAACCAACACTGTATTGTAAAGTTTGAGTCTCACTGATGAGTCCTGAATAAATAAGTGATTTTGTCTAATCGGGGCCGACCTGCTGTGATTGGATGAATTAAAAATTGTTCATAGATGTTTGCGGTGTGGTCATTGTCCTGCTGAGAAGAATGAACAATAAAAAAAGAGCAGAAATCCTTTTAAAAGCCGTGTAGTCAAAGCCCCGGTGAAGAAAACCATCAGGCTTGGAGTCTGCCGTTCGTGAGACATTCATCATAGTATCCTTCAGCTTTAAGGTCAGGTGTGCTTTGTAATGATGTGAAATGAGCACTATGCGTTGAACCAGCGCTGCATATGGCATGGAGTTTCCCTTTTACACATAGCACACAAAAAAGATGTCAGTGTCAGACACGCTCTTACCAACAGAAAATACTCTGTTTGGCATAGGCGAGAGGTGGCAGCACAAGATGCAGTTCGTAATTCGATTGTACCATCGCCCTCTTGGAATACGGCCGTTTGTATTTTTTGCAATCAATGAACAGGCTTTATCTACTTGGAATGCTAAGAAGTGAACTAGAGACCCGAAGGGCTGTGGTAATAGCAGTGAGCTGTCAATCAAACTAGCCCCGCCCCAAAGCATACCCTGCATTATGGTCTGTTTGACTCCAACAGGACAATAATTGACTAAATCTAGACTTGAAACTAGAGATTGAGAATATGAACTCATGTTCTACCTTTATGTAATCTGACGTCTACCCGCGACCAGAGAAGTCACCCCCTGCTGGTCAGTAGACAGAATGCAAGTTTTACGATGATTTTATAAACAACCAGGACTCTAGCTGTTCCTTAAATTTGTCTGGCAATTTTAGCATCCCCATTACATACTGGCAGTTAACTGTTTCACTATTATTCCACAAACTTTTGACTCGTATAATTTCCGTATTAGCCCTGTCCGGAAATTATCATACAGTCTCTTATTTCATAAAAATACCAGCCTTCAACCAGAACCTATTTTTTGCCCGACATGTGTGCATATATGAAAGTCCTGCCTAAAGGTGCAACACACATTAATGTACCATATTTATCATATTGTACCATATTTATCATATTGTATCTGTTTGCAGTGAGGCTGACAAGTCCGGGCTGAAGCTTCGGGGCTGATTGACCATAAAATACTAACAAGGCTCTCCTAACGATCTCAATGAAATGCTCAGTGACTTAATTAGATGATGTGCTGTGCATTTTAAGGGGTTCACTTAGGGGCATGGTCTCTAAAGAGATCAGAATTATTTTTTAAATACATGTGGGACGTGCATTCAAGGCATTTCTCTATCATGAGGCAAAATAAAACACCTTTCATTAAAACCCTCTGAAGTTACAAAAGGAAGAGTATGGTTTTGCCACATCACATATGTCATCTGGCCAATCAAACATGTTCAGTGGTAAAAGGGTTACAAAAAGGTTATGGCATGGGTGTCCAAAGTCCCGCCTTGTGGCCAATCACGGCCCATGGTCATATTTCATACTGCCCGCAACTTTGGGGTTATAATGTATTATTTATGGCCTGCTAGAATTGTTAAGTAAATTCTAAAACTTTAAAATGCAATTCCTCCTTTAACAGACAATAGACAGCATTACTTATAACTTGTGTTTAAAATGATCACGATATTTATCATCTTCATGGAGATTTAATGTTGGTTCAATGTTATCTGACCCTCCAGGAAATGGATGAAAGGCAGAGTTGTCTTTTTCTATTTCTACTCTACACTCAGATAAATATATAAAAAATCTATTTCACATGCAACAAATACATTTTTTGTCCACTCTATAAATCTGGATTATATATGAAAATAATCAGTGTCTACATTTTTGTGTATTTGTAAGGATTTGTCCCTCATTAACTTGGTTTCTTTGAGTCTGCTCAGTGTGTCCACGAGAGGACAATGCCCTGCAAACTTAGGGGTTGCTAAGGAACTGCAATGAGCATCCAATGCTCATCCAACTGAACAATCAGACTCATAGTGTCTGCAGACACATACAGGATGTCTAGGATTGTGCAGGTAAAACATGGTAAGACAAGGTCAAACTGCTTTTATAAGTTCAATGGCACGAATGTCAATAGATGGCATCTGAAACTCTTCCAGTAAAAAAAAGCATAGCACCACCTCCCATCATAGTAAAACAAGCGGCCTCTGATCTCAGGAGGCTGTAAATGACCATTATAGCCACTGTTACTTCCTGAGACGCCAACAATTAGCCCCTGCCGCCGTGCTAATGGCTTCAGTGTGGAAGATGTGAGAGCGCTGGTACCAGCGGCCTGGGAAGACCAGTGGGTGTCTGGAAAAGAGACGCTCATCCTTCCATCCTAATTGAAAGACGCCATCTAGCTGGGTTTACGACAGGACGGAAGGGACGGGTGGGACGGGTGAACTTTGGGAGGTTTTGGCAATCTGGCCCTGTCCACCCCCTCCAAGGAACAGAAGAGGTGCAAAATGGACACCAGGTGGAAGAAGCATAACAGAGAAGCAGAGCGCGAGGATGCAGGGCGTTTAGCAATGCGCATGGTTGGCCGGCTGCATGATCGGTGTTTTTCTAGAGTTGTAAAGTTGTATGTCAATGTGTTATTATGACTTTGGATATGAAGAAGGCTGCGTTGTTATTTTTATACGGACCCAGGAAAATGAATTCAGGAAAAACTATCCTATATATTATACTAAATATCTGTACATTATGAGGTTTTGAATGAAAACCGTGGCAAAAAACATACCCAGATTTCTTGGCACATGCCTGCTGTGTTTTTCCAACAGATTTTTTAGGGTTCAACTGGCGTGGCGCAGTTAACCAAGCAAACCCTCGCATTTGCATCACAGTGGTGGACAGAAATGGATGGGACTAAATTGAGAGGGAAAGGTTGACAGTGTCTCTGCTGTGTTGTGATGTCTGTTAATCATTACCAACACCCCTCTGGCTTCAATAAAGGAGAATAAAAGAATATAAAAGAACAATTTGGGCTGCCCCAGCTGTGAATAACCAACCCATCTCACAGAACAATAGCCCGGTCATGCTTGCTATAACTCAGCTTGTGATCTCGGACACGCCCCTCTCTCTTGCCACATCTTTGTTAAAGTCGTCTGTCAGGCATATCAATTTTCCTCTCCCCACCCCTGATGCAGCACCAGATGGTTAAGATCTATAATTTAGTCCCCCCCCCCCCCCTCCTCCAAAGAAAAAAACCTCTGACCCCCACTTCCACATCGTTTCATGCTATCACAATCACCATGGCTCATTATTGGCCAGTAGTAGCCCACCCCCTTGACTAATTAGGCTCAGCTTTGTCGAGCCGGGGAGCAATAGCTTTGCGAGCTAGGAGGGCGTCCCAGCACCTGGGGAGGCTACCTGTTACAGCGCCTGGCCCATCAGCCTCACAGAGAAGGACAGGCACGCCAGGGAGGAAGGGGGGGGGGCCCAGCTGGCCGGCCTGCACTGGCACTTACAGAAGAGGCGTGATGGTAGCCACTGGTGCATGATGCAGTTGTTTTGGCAGCCCATGGGGGCATTTTAGGCTAAACACACCCCAGTAGGTGTGCATTTAAGAGTGCAAGGGTTTAAAATCTATAGGGCGCCCACATGTTCAAGTTGCTAAAATGCACTTAATCCTTCCCAGGAACGCTGAAGGAATGAAACCATAGACAGCAATTATTTTTTCATCTGTGAGCTTAACTTATCTTCATCTATTTTGACTTTTCTGGTGAAAACCGCTTAAGCACTTATTAAGCTGAAAATTGGGCCTGCCATCGATTTGCCCCTGCAATGCACGGTTGAAGTTGACTGTACTGTGGGAAAGATATCAAGCTCAAAGGTTTTCTCCTTCTTCCCATTCTGAGGCTGACAAATGACTCGTCTTTTTTCGCTGCAATCAATATGACGCAGGCCCCATCCCACTCTTTCTGAGAATGTGAACCAATCTGGTTAAACGGTGAGACGCCCTCACACACATTAGTCACAGCAGTCTTGCTGCAGCGCAATGCACAAGGTCTCCAAGAGGCACTTGAAGAAGGTTAGTGCTCCACTGCAGGACAGAGGGCTCCAACCCGGGGGAGCAAAGCCAGTATGGGGCTCACTAAAATTATTACCTTCCACTTGGGCAGGTGGGGCTGGTCATAATACTAATGCATATTTAAATGACTACTTTGCATTTATCTGCATTCATCTAAAATAGTATGAAATAGAAATAGATTAAAAATTGATATGTATGGTTGTGTGAAGGGGAATTCATGAGATGCAAATGTGCAATGAGCTAAATGGCAGGTCCATCTTTTCCCACTTAATATCCATGGGGTCGCGGCTAATTGTGCTTTTGTTGTGCAATTACCAAGAGTTTGTTCGGGGTTTAGATAGTCA